TGCCCTATTCAAGATATTCTTACCCACTAACCTTTCTTTCCTAAATTCCTTCTGAAAATCATTACTTCTTTCAGCTAGAGATGTCTACTGAAACAGGTACTCTTAACAGATGTCTAAAGCTGAATTTTTAACCATATCAAGTTTTAGTACCTTGCAGAGGCATTTTCTTTTTAATCAAAAAATGTACTTTGTAGCAGCTGTGTCTGTGTAATCCAGTGATATAGCACATTCTTGGTGTATACAAGGCCTTGGGGTTCAATGCCCAATACCATTTAAAACATACAGCCTCATCTGGCCATGAGGCATAGAAGAAAACAAAACAGAAAGACAGAGAAAGACAAACAAGAGGCTGGAGAAGTGGCTCAGTGGTTAAGTGCACTTCCTGATCTTCTAGAAAACCTGGGCTCAGTTCCCAGCACCCATATCAAAATGCTTGCAACTGCGTGAAACTCTAGCTCCTGGAGATTCAACACCCTTTTCTGGTCTCCACATGTATCTATGCACACATGGCATATACACACAAAGATACACACGTATATACATAAAATCTAAAAATTATTTTAAAAGAGAAATTCAGAATTGAAATAGAGCACTTTCTAGTCAGAAGGGCAATCCCGGTCTATTCAAAATGAATGAAAGTATGTTTACATACCTTAGAAATCCTAAAACAACAAACAAACAAACAGCTACACAGAAGAAATGCTCATAAAAAGTGTCTAAATTAAGCATGAGGGGGTAACTCTTTAAAATCCTTCAGACATAAACAGCTTAGCTTTCCAAAACATATATAATTCTATTCTAATACAAAAAAACAGGATGTTAGGATATTATGGGAAAAATAGCCAACTGAGGGTTTATAGATTTAATTCCAATTTGATAACTAATATAAAAGTAAAAACTGGAGCTGCTCTATTTGATATGCAAATTATCTTTTATCCTTTAAAAAAAATTTGTTGAACTGTCAGTTTATACTACAAGACTATTAAATAAGTGGCAGGCCAGGAATGGTGGTGCACAACTTTAGTCCCAGCACTGGGAGGCAGAGGAAAGGGGCTCTCTGGGAGATCCAGGCCTGTCTGGTCCACACGGTGAGTTCCAGAGCAACCAAGACTACAAAAAAAAAAAAAAAAAAAAAAAAAAAGAAAGAAAGAAAAGAAAAAGAAAGACAGAAAAGGAAAAAAAAGAAAGAGGAGAGCAGCAGAAAGAAAGAAAAGGAGGGAGGGAGGGAGGGAGAAATGGGGGAAGGGGGGAGGGAGAGAGAGAAGGAGGGAAGGAGGAAGGGGAGAGAGACAGGCAGAGGCACTTTCTTTAATAAAATAATCCCAGCTGGGTGGTAGTGTACACTTTTAATCCCAGCAGAAGGCACAGGCAGGTGGATATCTTAGCTGAAAGCAAGCCCAGTCTACAGGACAGCCAAGGCTACACAAAGAAACCTTATCTCAAAAAAACAAAAATATACAAGTAATTCCTACTTTCTGCTCATTTTTACAATATTCTCTTTTTTTTGTATGTGTGTGTTTTTTTTTTAAAACAGGGTTCCTTATGTAGCCCAGATGGCCCAGAACTTGTGTTCCTCCTATCTTACTCTCCAGAGTGTTGGGATTATTGGAATTCCAGGTACATGCCACCATGTCCATCTTACTATTCTGTTATAATGTTCATTTTCACAATGTCAGCGCAAGGTCTTATCTATTCAGAGTTCCCTGAGTACAGGTAGCATTAGTAAAACATGACATAGAGTTTGCACTAAATTGCACATTCAAAGACAAAGTTACACTTGTCATGTTTTAACAATGGCACTACCCTAGCATCATCTGGGGCAACTGGCTCACCCCAGATATTAACCATGACCTGCAAGTGTCAGCTGAAAAGTCTGTGTCGAACTGTTAAAGCCAATAAATAACTTACAATTCAATGACAAGGTGTAAGACTTTCCAGCTGAGTGACTTCAAACTGACTGTATGCGCACACCAAGCTAATGCCTGCACTGTGTTAGCTCAGTTCTAACTTCCAGCTGAATCAAAATCCTACAGTCTCCACAGTCTGAAAGCAGGAAATCCAAACGGAAATTCCATCATCAGATCCTGGGGCTTGGCGTCTCAAAGGTCCTGGGCGGCAGATACAGAAGTTCTTTACTGTAATCTTACCTCATATCTTCAAGTAAATCACACTCTGCTTGATGCTTGGCTTGAAGTTTTGTCATCTGCTCACCTTGAATGTTTTTCAGCTCTTGTGTAACTTTCACCTGAAACACAGCATGCATTCATGAAGGCTCTTACTACAATCTGAACAAGAAAAATTAAAGATTACAGTATTTGTTAGAATATATACTTCCAGTTTTCCTCTCCCTAAAGACCAAAAAGTTTATATTTGCCACCTAGTTTTATTACTTAACTATGTTTGATGGAAAAAAAAAAATTGGCCAAGGAATCTAAAGCAGAGGCTCAATAAAAATTCACAAATATAAAAATTACAGTTTAAAGGGGTACAAACTATCATTCTGTCTTCTTTCTTCCCAAAGATACAGACATTAACCACCAGGCGCAGTGAGCGCAGATGAAAGACAGCATAACAGTACCCAATACCTAGCGACTGAAATCTACAGTCATGAAATAATATGCATAAATAAACCACATAAAAAATTCCATAATGGCTGCAAGAAAGCACAGGTCTCAGAATGACACACTCCACTCTGACAGCGAATCGAACCATAATCTTTCTCACAAAGGAAAACGCGAAAGTGACCATCCAGCATATGCAAGGCTTTTAAACTAGCCCAGGAAGCCAAGGCCAGGTGGCAGCCCACTTCAAACAGCAAGAACCGCCAAAGCCAGCTGGCTGGAGCCACCCCGGCCAGGCCAGACCAGACCCGGGAGTTGCAATTGGTTTGTGATTATGGTGGAATCCTGACCAGCGCAAAGCTACATGTGGAGGTGGATTACACGTGCAAGGGAAAGAAGGTGGGGGAACGAGTTAACTGGAGAAATTCGGATTCAGAAAGGAAAAGAAAGGAAACAGAAATGATTAGCTACTCATAGGGCAAATGTCGGCCCACAAAGGGAGGATATAACTGTCTCCACGCACTGCTCGGAGTAGATACCTAGTATCCATCTAAAGGATTAAAAAGACAAGGACACAGCCTTGGTTAGCCGTGGAGGAAGGTGGCGAAGGGCGCAGCGGGGAGGCTGCTGGCATGCCCAGGAGCACCGGTCACTGCCACCCAGGCCTCCCAAACCCTAACCGTAGCTCTCCAGCCACTCATCGCCAGGGTCTGGCTTTCCCACTGGAAGCGACACTGTTTCTTCCCCTGGCCCGAGGCGGGGCAAAAGCTGGGGGGGGGGGGGGGGGTGGGGGGGGGGGAGCAGGACCCGTCAGTCCTTAATTCGCCCTCCCTTGGGGTGGGAGGGCGGAGACCGTTCCAACTTCTTTTCGGCAGCCCCGTGGGAAAAACAGGCCAAATCTTGGGGCTAGACTCGAAACAAATCCCTTCGCCAATCTGCCAGTGGGTGGGGTGCCGCCAAGCGACCGGGGCGCTCGAACCCTGGGCGGACTAAACAATCCCCCACGCCCCGGGCTCCGCAGGTCCGCAGGGGCTCCCCGGCTCCCCTCCGTGCAGCTCGGAGGACGCACTCCGCACTGGGCAGCACTGCCGTGCAGACACACACACACACACACACACAAACACGCACGCCCGAAAAACTCCAGCGAATGCGTGGGGGCGGGGAGGGAGGCGGCGTCCCCCGTGGTACACGGGACGGGCACCGGCCGCCCCTCCGTCGGGAAGACACCCCACGCACGCGAACCCCTGCCCGGAGCGGGCGGCAACTCGGTGACAAGCCGAGAGGCGAGAGCGGTCACGGCCCCTTGCGGGAAGGGGGAGGGGGCGCGGCGGGCGCCCCAGCCGCCTTCTTTGTACGCGCCAGCACCCCCCGAGCCTCCAAGGCCCCCTCCGGCTGCGCCCTCACCTTCCTCGGCGGCGGCTGCATGATGCTGAAGGGACATCAATCCTCCGCCCACCCCCGACGGCGGCGACTCAAGCACGGCGAGCGCGAGGAGGGCAGGAGGACAGGGCCGGCCCGGCGAGGCAGGGCGCGCTCGCGCGTGTGTGAAAGGAGAGCCCAGGAGGAGGAGGAGGAGGAGGAGGAGGAAGCGCCCCGGAGGCTGCGGGCGGGCGGCCGGAGCGCTCGGTCGCGGCGAGTGCGCAGGGAGGAGGAGGAGCGCGGGGAGGCCTGGGGCCCGGGCGGCCGGGGGG